TTCCCCTTGGCAAGTTTCCACCTAAAGATGAATTTTCCTACCTGTGCATGGTGACTGTTCTTTCTCAGTCCAATATCTCTTGGGCTGCAGCACCTGCACAGCCGGGCACCCCAGAAACATCGCTTTATGCTGTGGCCTCACCTGGAAACACAGCAAAGCTTTAATTTGGATGAGGCTGCAGCCAATATTTTGCTCAGCCAGGAACATTTTGTTTCTACTCTGAGGGAATTTCTTTTTCTTTTTTTTTTCTTTTGCTGTGATGCAGTGCCTGAATGTTTTTTTGTCTTGCCGAAGTACAGGAGAGACTGGAAATGTTAGTCTGAAAATGTCACTTCTCTTGTTTCCAGCTTTTACCAAATTCTATTTATCTATCTATCTATCTATCTATTTATTTATTATTATCTATTATTTTGGTTGCAGAAGAAATGAAAAACCCAGATTTTTCTGCTAAACTCTCCTTGGAACCTGGGACACTGTGGGCAAGGGAAATCCTGCTGTTCTACCTGTAGCAATGAGGCAACCCTGCTCAGCCTGGGAAATCTGAGCTCAACCTTTTAATAAACACCCCTGATAATTTCCTATTTATTTCCCCCAGTTTCTCACCACCATAAATCCTCATTTAACCATTACATTCTCACCTGTTTGGAGGAAGAAAGGCAATCCCCAGTGCAATCCTTGAAGACATGATGCAGTGAGTGGTGTTGTTTTCAGGCACCACATTTCCTACCTTGATGCATCACGACCGTGCTTTTTTCACTCTTGTAGAAGACAGAATCTTCCACTTTTGTGGTTGCTTTGGCAAATTATGAGTATTTGAGGATACAGGAGAGACTTTCACGCTGTTGGATCTGCTTTGTCCCTTCCAGGAGTCCATGTTGTCCCATGATATGCACGTGGAGGAGATGTTACTGGACAGGACCCCTCTAATCTGGGCCCACAGGGACTCCAAAACCCAAAGGTTTACCCTCCCACTTGATCTCTACATCTCTCCTTGAAGACATGGAGATGGCATCTGTAGGGAGAAGTTCATTTGCTTTCTTATCATACCATCTGGGACAGAGAAATTGGACTTGCTGAAGACCAAGGGGAGTTTGTCTGCCATAGGATGGGGCTCAATCTACTCACTTGATTGGACACTGGGCAATGGAAATTTCCACTATTCTATCTGCTTTTCTTAAAAGGGTCACTGGTCCCGAGTTGAATTATGAGCTAGAAACGGTACTCAGCAGCATTAACACACTTTTATTTTACAAAAATAAACTCATGGTAGGTGTCACCTGGATTTGCACAGTCATGCTGCAGGACAAAGAGTACAGTTGTGAGCCTCTGGGCTTTCCTGAGCACTCAGATGATTCCCTCTCTTCATACCATTTTGTTTCCTAATCATGATTACAAGTATTCCAACATTGCTTCTTCTTCATGTTGAGTGGCTTGTCTTGCTTGTTAAGTCTCCAAGATGTCCCAGAGAAACTTCTTGCAGCTTCATTTATCTTTGATTTATGCAAGGCAACTGCAGCTGATCACCTCCCTCTGACTGGTGTCGTAAAGCAAGAAAAGAGAAAACAAAGGGGATGTTGGAGGTTGGATGTGGCATGGGCTTTATTTTGAACCTCCCCTGTCTGGAGAGGCTCAGGAGGTCTCTGATGCCATGGGATGTCCATGCCTGGTCACGTTGTGACATGCCAGACATTGATACAGCAAATATCCTGATCCAGGTCAGCTTTAGGAACTCTTCAGGGTCAGTGAGGAGAAATCATAAAATCATTGTAGAATCATTCAAGTTGGAAGGGACCCCTAAAGGTCATATAATCCAACTCCCCTGCAATGAACAGGGACACCTACAGCTTGATCAGGTTGCTCAGAGCTCCGAGCCTGACCGTGAATGTCTCCAAGGATGGAGCATCTACCACATCTCTGGGCAAACTGTTCCAGTGCTTCTCTACCCTTATGGTGGTTCATGGAGGACACTGACTTGGCCTGGTTTTGTAGGACTATCACTCCACAGTGGATGCTTCTCTCTATAAAGGGAGATATGGAGCTGAAGATATCTACAGGGAACCTATATGCTCATTTAATGCTCATGCCCCACGCTTGCAGCATTGGACATGAAGCAGCTCATTTCTTACTCAGGGATTTAAAGCACTGAGAGTGACTTCCCCAGGTGTGGTGCACTGCAAAGAGACAGACCAGTAAATGTGAGCACTAGCCAGGCTAAGTGGGTGCCAGCTAGCAGATGAACCTCATCAAAATCATGATTGTATTATTTGTTTTGGAGAACTAATACATTTCTTCTGCTGCCCAGAAGGATTTCTTCCATTTAAAGAAAAGGCTGAGAGAGGAGCACCTTTCTAGGAAAGCATTTCAGCTGCAGCTCATGTATTGCTTGGCAGCCGTAGCATTTGCATTACTGTCAGGGCCAGGAGGAGCTAATTTCATACAATCATAGAATAGCTTATGTTGGAGGGGACCTTAATGATTGTCTCATTCCAACTCTCCCACCATGGACAGGATTGCCAGCCATCAGATCAGGCTGTTCAGGATCCCCCTCCAACCTGGCCTTGAATGCCCCCAAGGAAATCTTCCACTGGTGCTTGTATGGACCCTCCACCTCACCCCCATGTCCACTCTGTGTTTCATCAAGCTCAAGGAAGGAGATGTTCAGGAGCTCTCAGGATGGGCTGGAGGGGATCTGAGTGGGGAGTCCACTGGGAGCAAGAGGAGAAGCAGACTTTGAAACTAGAGGCACCACTCCAAGTGAAACTTGGATGTATGGATGGAGAAGGTTATAGGATTGCCTGGGCGGGAAGGGTATGTCAAAAGCCACAACAGCTGGGCAGCCCATCCGGAGAAGTCTATGGGCAAATTGGCCTCCTCAAGGCCTTTGCTGCCATACAAAGTGGCAACTCTGCCTTGAAAACATCCTTTTTCCCTACAGGTGAAAGGAACAGCTTCTCCTCCTTCTCTCCTTTTCATCTGACCTCACCGCCATCCTCCCATGCTGCTCCAAATCATCCTTCTATCACCCTGGCTTATTAAAAGAAGCAGAGTAGCAGAGTTGCCCTCGTCCTACTGCAGCTTGCAGCCTGGGTCCTTGGTGGCACACCATAAGGCAATGGAGGCAGACAGATCCTGGATGTGTTTTCCTGCTTCCTCCTAGGAGGAGGATCAGAGAGCCTAGTGGATTTCTCACCTGCTGAGATTTTGCACAGCCGTTCACACTTCCTTTTGGTTTCAAAGCGGTTGCTGTTCCCTTGGCATCCCCCAAAGATGAAGGGTCGACAGGCTTTTGCTGCTGGGTGGAAGTACCAGCGCAGGGTGTAGTGTCGACAGGAGCCCTCGTCCATTGGCTGTAGGCAGGGGGCTGCAGGGAGACACCCCACAACCACTCACATGTGGCATTTAGGTGAGAAAAGACCACCTTGGACAAACACATGGGGCTGGTGCAACGGCTCCCATTGTCCCACGGTCATCACAATGAGGTTGGAAGAGCAAAAGGGGCAGCAAGGACCAAGGGTGGATTCCCGTAGTGGGATGAGCACAAAGCTCCTCACTGTAGGGTTGGTTGCTTTCGGGGACATTGCAGAGGAAACTCTCACCCTGCACTTTTTTTTGGTATGGTTGGACAACACAGAATGGTCTGAAATCACCCCCTACTTTGTTCACTACCAGAACGAATGCAACTACTTTAAGCCAAGCGTGAAGCTGAGATTTGAACCTCTGCTTGCTGGCGTGTGTAGCTTTTTCAGCCCCACATCCCCTTGATCTCAGAGCCAAAAAGCACTTCCCACCCGAGTAGTGACTTCCCTAAATGTCACTTAATTCAGTTTATTTCACCTGGTAATTGATCGTGAGCTTCTCGGCGCTTGTACAAAGGAAGACCTCTTATTGGCTGCACACTGGAAGCTGCTGGGGAAGCAAAAGGAAATCACACATAATAAGGGCACGCAAACAAATTAGCCATCATTTAAATATTGATCATTGGAGCCTTACATGGCTTTCTGCTGGCTATCAAGTTCCCTTAATAAATGTCATGGAGTTATTGGTGAGGCAGGGGGAAGAACTGGCAGCAATAAAATTCTTAATGGTATTAAACAACTCAGTCAAAAAGGTTGGGTGTTAGTCAGAGAAAATGGAAGTATTTGTGGTTGCTTGCAGGAGATAAATGTCAGGCTGGAGTTTTGTAAATCTGGAAGCTTTGAAAAGCCAGCGGTGATTGTAATCTGGCAGTAATAACCCTCCGACTGCAGAATCCTGTTAACATTTCCAGCGCCTATCGGCACTCATCACTTAGTGGAGCGATTTATGGGCCCTCCTGCCTCAGACCCAGGCTTTAATGGGATTGTCGGCTGGCGACGGCGGCAGCTGTGATTCAATAACATGTGGTACGCTCTGCCGATCTCAAACCGCCCCGATCCCAAACGCTGCCTTGATATAAAGTGAGTTTAAAGCCACATGGATGACGTCTCCCAAGTGCAGCACAGATATTAGGTGAGAGTTTGAGTGATGGGCAAGAGGAAAGCGGAGATGGTTGAGGCCAGCTTCAGGTTTAGCTGGATATGTGGGGATTATTTGTTCCTTAGAGGATTACATGGGGAAAAAATTGAGATAATCATCACTAAGTTTGACTCAAAACTCTTCCCAGAGCTCAGGAAAGTACCATCATGTGTAATAAAGGTAAAGATATTTAAAATGTAGGTCAACAACCTGTGTAGGCTGCCACTTGTTTTGAGGTTTGAAAGTATGTGTTATCGGAGTTACACTTTTTAAATATATTCCAAAGTAGCAGAACTGATTGCCCAAATCATTTGTCTTTCAGAATGCATCTTGCCTATCAGTACCTATCTGTCTGAGCTGAATCAGTGACTGTCCCACTCAGGGCTGCTCCCTTCATACAGCTCAACCCTCCTCCTCCTGTTGACAAAATCTGAGAAGTTGTGGTGAAAACATCTGAATTTCTGGTTTGCTGAACTGGAAGAAGTGAGACTCAACTCTCCCCTCCTCTACTGCACTTTCTTGCGATATGTTTGGACTTTGAGTACTGAGTGAAGGAAACACTTCATAAGCAAGCCCATAATCCCCCTATTCCTGTCCACCACCATTTCTGCACAGTGCTTTCACTCTCTGTCTCCCAGAAATCAAGACTAAAAGGCAAATGTCGCAGATGAAGTCAGAAGGACCATGGGTGAATGCGGAGTGGTCTGAAGATGTGATGGATATGTGGGAAGGTGGTTCATATGAGTTACATTTGGTGAAGGTAATTTCCATCTTGCTGCCAAGATTCAGGGCAGAAATGCTCAGAAACTCCTAAAATCAATTATATCAAAGGCTTTGCTCACCTCCATTTAGTGTGCAGGGCACAGGGATGTCCATAGATCCCAGAAAAGCCACCCATGAATTATTAGCCCATGTGGATAGAAGGAGGCATAAGACTTGTATTTGCTGAAGGGATCTGATGGGTCATCAGGTCTCCATGATTGAGCAAAGATGTTCCTCACTCTAATGCTCATTACAGTGGTTCACAGAAAAAAAGGGTTGATGATCTGAAATTAAGCTGAAACTGCCCCATCCTGTCTTTTCTCTGGAGAGATGGTCATTCTTAGCCAAGCTTTAATGGATCTCCTGGTATCCAACAGATCTGTCTCCTGGGCTTTTCTGCCAGGACACCATCCCAGTTAATCCCAGAGTGGTCCTGGAGCAAACTGGGGATTCATCCTATCTGTGCCTGCAAGCCAGGCCGTAACATCTTTCCACCTCTGTACAGACAGGACTGTACTGCATGCATCTGCAGAGCAGGACCTTGGTTGTTCTGTCTCCCCCTCTCTCTTGGCCAACATAAAGGGTGAGAAATAGAGCCAGTTGTTTCTCCATCAGCTGCAATCATGAGTTTTACCCATTAATATGTTCATGAGGCCCTGGGCAGAAATAGTCTGTAATAGCTTGAGTGTTTGGTCTCAAAGATGCAATTTTTGGCTGATAGAAAGCCTTACTAGAAGTTGCAAAGGACATGAGGGGGACAGCATCAGCCTGAAAATGTTGGCTGCTTTCTTCCAGCACTTAAAAATGTGTTCTTTGGTAGGTGGTGATCACCAATGGTGCCACGTGTGTTTGGCATTTCCCTCACCCACACACTGGAGTGTTGGATGATCTCACCTCTGAGTCACAGAGAAACACAGGGGATCTCATGTAGGAGCCCTTGTTGGAAATCCCATATCTGTGTCCTTTCTAACACAGAGGAAAGGAATTCAGCACTGGGTTCATGCTGTGTTCTGGGAGAGGTGAAGACATCATCTCCCATGATAGAAAAGCTCAAAAGCAATCAGCCAGGCAGCTGTACTTACCTGTCGTAAGAGAAGGTGTCTCCAGGAAGGACTCTGATGGTGTCATCCATGTGGTCATACTCTGGGTTTTGTTAGGCATTTCCTCCCAGTTTTCACCATCCCTTCCAGGGTGTTTTTGAGGCTGAAAATACCCTTGAAGCTGCCTCTTGAGTTCAATTGCTTCCAGTCCTGTGGATTTAATTGCTGGGTCAGTGATGATGAAATCTGGCACCACAGTTTGACAGCTGAGCTCTCATGCTTAGAAAAATAATTGTAGTTCAACAAAGTGACTACTAGTATGGGAGAAAAGTCACAACTCAATGTTGCACCTTCAAAAACCCACAGACTCACAGGTATGGCGTCAGATTAGGAAACCATTTTTCAAATCATATACGCTGTAAAGAAGGGCAAGAACTTATGGACAAATCATACTGTCTCCCATCTTCCCAAGGAAGGCTGGGATATGTTAAACTTACTCAGAATAAAGGTTGGTTTTAAAGGAAACTGTTCCCAAGGAGTGATGGATCTCATTGGTACCTCCATGGCTGTGTTCACAGTGTCATTTGGGATGGAGTTCTGATCAAAGCTATAATTAAAGGTCTGTGGGATCTGTAGCATCTTCATGACACGTTGAGCTGTGCCAGTCTTCTTGTTGGATGGGCAGCATGTTAGCAGGGCAGGTCTTTTATGAAGTTTTGGCTTTATGCATGTACAGGGTTGGAAACTACAGGGTGGTAGATCTGATGGAGCCTGGCTGTGCAAAATTGACCCAGAAACATGTTTTAAAGCAATGTGGACCAGCAAACTGAATCCATTCCATATCAACTCTGTAGCACGTCCACTGTGGTTTTGATCTGGCTTTGCAAACTTACTGCTATTTCTAAAAAGATGCCTTGAACATGAGTTGGAGACAGGATGATGTGCTTCTGGCTGAGCATCTAGATAACACACAGAGCCCTTGGGTAACATCCGAGTTATGAATGCAAAACATTTCACCAAAGGTTTTTTTTTGTAGGAGCACGGAGGCTTCCGTGTCCAAGAGCATTCAGCACGCAGGATTCATTTGCCCTGATTTATTACAGCAGCAAGTAGAGGCCAATGCAAGGGCAGGATCCCAGGGATGGGGCCATGGATAATACCAGGGAGAAACCTCTACCCTGATAGCTTTGCTTTCTAAATACAAAGCAGGAGAGGGGGACGCAGAGTTTGGAAAGGACTATATTGTTCCTAATGTAATTGGGAATGTCCCATGCCACGGGAGTCCCCAGCTGCTCCGTGTGTCTGTGATTACATTGGCTCAGTACAGCCAGAGCAAGGTTGCTGCCAAGCAGCTTGGCTATTTGCTTCTTGACCCATCTCTCTGTTTAGTAAGTCCCTGCCTTTGTGAAATGCTCTGCTTTATATACTATGAAACAATGTGCTATGAAGGCTAAAACAACAACAACAACAACAACAAAACAATTATGGAGGAAAAATTAAAGCAAATCCATTTCTGGAGAAGGTATATTCATTTTAGAGGCAAGCTGCTGCTCATCCTTTGATTATGCCTGTTTTAAGCACTGAACAGGTAGGGAAAGACTAACTGCAGTGGCTGCAAGGAGAGTGTCTGGTGCCATCCAAGTCAGTAATGCCCTCATGTTACAAAGCCCAAAAACTTCCCATGATGACATACAGAGTGTAAGATACATCCATGCATACCTTTCCTGAGGTTGGATGCATCACCCTGGGCACTGCCCACCCAGAAAGTGACTCTTGTAAGTGTTCTTTAATTCAGCAGAGAGGATAAGCCCTTGGCCAAATGTTGGAGTTGGACTCCATGATCCTTATAGGTGCATTCTGACTCAGGATATTCTAAGATTCTATGATTCTGAATGTGGAGTCTCCTATATATCAGCAGATTAACCATCCAGATGACATGAACCATAAGAAATAGGACTCCAAAGCAGGAGATGGAATGTTGTATTCTGTCTTGCAGTACAGGGTGGAAGTTGGTGACCTCTTGGCTTTTCTCTTAACCCTGTTTCTCCATTTCCCTCAAGAAATAGCCCTCCTAAAAGCTGGGACCTAAAAACGTTTGGTGATCCAGGGTCATTTTCCATGTTGAAACTCAGAAAAAGGTATTTAATGACATCTTTTTCACTCAGTCTAGGGGTAAGGAGAAACATCCTCTAAGACAGAGCACACTCCCATGTATTTCAGTATGGATATCAGCAGACTTACCCTTTTCCACAAGCATCCTTCCCAGCTCATCTCCACAATCTGCAAAGAGAAGACAGGGCAGAGTTTGTTTGCTGCTTCTTTTTTTCTTTTTTGGCCATTGGAAAGACTTTTTTTTTAAATGAAATGATTATTGTTATTGGCAGCACATGCTTTCATGGGTTATATTCGATTTCTACCCCTTAAAACACTCAGATGTTTCCTAATGTCAGAAACAAGTGTGATTCCATTTTAATCATCTTGGCAAGTGCAGTGCTGACCTCCAATCCTCTTTGGCCATAGGAATGCTCGAAAGATTTGGGCAGCTCTGCTGGACCTTTGCAGGGCAAGGAAGCAACAACCACAAAAGCCAAAAACCTTTGTGATGTGGGGGTTTGGGGTTTAAAAAAATCCCAAAGTGTGGTCTTCCCCACTATTTTTTTTGTTACCCTTCTGGTCTTGGTTGACAGATCTGGAACAGGCTGCCCATGGAGCTGGTGGAGTCACTTGCCTGGAGATGTTCAAAATACGAGGAGATTTGGCACTGAGGGACATGGTTAGTGGGCAGTATTGGTGGACAGTTAGACTGGATGATCTTAGAGGTCTTTTCCAGCCTTAATGATTCTATTCTGCTTTCACTGAAGAGGTGTCAAGAAGTGCCATGAAGCAGAGAGGAATTAAAGTGTTGTCATCAAGCAAAATTTCCCCCATTTATCTCCAAAGTTTATCTCCAAACTTTCCCCTGTGACCCAGAACCTTTCACCAATCAGTGGGGAAATGGAGATGAGCGGGGAGGAAAGCTTTGCTGACAAAACCACCAGGGAAGAAACGTGAAGACAGAGGTTTTAAAGGAAACGTGAAAACAGAGGTTTTAAAGGGAAAGATTTAAAGTGTGACTAGGAGGTCAGCGTTACAGCAGAGACTCTGCAGCCCAAAAGCCCACACTCATCTCCAAGTAGACGCGAGGTGACGCATCTCTGCTCACTGTTAATGGGGTGATATTTGCTGGGTCGAGCAAGCATGTGCTGCCACTCAAATTACTCCAATTTAGTCGCTGCCAGCAGCTCGCCAGCTGACTTACCACATTGGCCTCTCATTTCGCTCCTGACCACCTCCTTCACCTCTTCCTCCTGTGCCACAGGGAGAAAAAAAATGATTAATAGAGATTTTCTACCCCTGCACCATCTCCCTCAGCTTTTTCTTTCCCATTCTGCTGGTGCAACCTCACCTGGAGCACTCTTTGCAGTTTTGGGTGCCACAATAGAATAAAAACATAAAACGATTGGAAAGCACCCAAAGGAGGGATCTGAAGGTGGAGAAGGCTCTGGAGGGCAAGATGTGTGACGAGTGGCTGAGGTCCCTAGGTTTGTTTGGCCCAGAGCAGAAGAGGATGAGGGGAGGCCTCATGGCTGCCAACAATCACCTCGTGGTGGCCTAGAACTCCTTAATGGTGGCCCTACAGCCTTCTCATGTTAAGATTCTGCATCAGAGGGTGATGGGCATGGAGCATGCTCCCAAGGATAGTGGGCCCAGCACCTAGCTGTTAGAGCTCAAGGAGTGCTTGGACAACGCTCTCAGACATAGGGTTTAGGTGGTGTGGAGTCAGGGATCCTTGTGGGTCCCTTCCAAGTGGGGATATTCTATGATTATGTCCTAGCCAGACTTCTCTTCATAGAATCACAGAATCATTAAGGTTGGAAAAGGCCATTAAGATCATCTAGTCTAACCATCAACCTGTTTTTACGATAAGGGTATTGAGGCACTGGAACGTGCTGCGAAGAGGTGTGTGGATGCCCCATACTTTGAGACATTCAAGGTCAGGCTGGACCAGGCTCTGAGCACCTGATCAAGCTGTAGATGTCTCTTTTCACTGCAGGAGAATTGGACTAAATGCCTTTTTAAAGTCCCTTCCAACTCATATGGTTCTATGATTCTGTGAGTTTAAGTTGAGCATCCTGCATGTCCAGTCGCAGGCATCCTAATGCAACTTTGTATGATATGGTCACTGTTTTTTCAGGATGACAAATCTCAGGGCATTTACTGTATAGAAAGCTTATCTTAACTCAGTATCCCATTCATAGGACAGCCTTACCATTAACATCTATTATAAAACTAATAGTGTCAGACATCTACACACTGAAAAGATGCAAATACAGCATGGTATCAATCCTATCTGCCAAGCATGAGTTTGAAAAAACACGGTAAGGATGGAAGAGGAGAAATATGCCCCAAGCTCTGGGTCATTGTTTGCATTCTCAGTGTGCTGCCTAGCACACTGCTCCTGCTTCAGCCCATGCAAATCTGACCCATGTCTGGGTAAAGGCCAACACTCTCATTTCCCAGATATTCTCTGCATGAATTTATTTCTCATCATTTCCCTCCTCCCTTACGCCTCTTAGGGGCATTTTGCCCTATTTTCTCTATTCAGCCCTGTGTAACACGATGAAATCTTAGACTAAAGTACTCACAGAAAGACCAGGATCTCCCTTTTCTCCTTTCTGACCAGCTGGACCATTTTCACCCTGTTAAAAACACTTAAGTCATTACAAAAGCTCAGTAAATTGAACATTAAACGCTCCAAGAATAAGTGCACCTTAGAGAGGAAAGGATGCTCTAGAAATGGAGATGGGGAAAAATGCTCACGTGTTTTCCCATAAATTTAAGGGTTATCAGTGAGCAGGAAGGAATGGTATCATCCACATGCAGGGAGACAAAGCGTGTGTTAGAGGGCTGGTGCAGGCTCCCTCACCAGGACACAAGGATGGCTCATCCTCATACTGACCATTACTCCTTTTTGCCCATCCATGCCTGGAGGACCTCTGAGGCAGAGCTGAGGTCTTCCTCTTCTCCCTCGTGGACCCTAGAGAAGATGAGAACAGCTCCATTAGCAGTACTGGGACAATCTCTGGAGATCTTTCATGACACAACTTGGGGTATTTCCCCTAAAGCTCAATGTGGGGATCAGCAGAGGAATTGAAGAGTCCTCTGGATCTCCAAACAGATCAGATGTGATGAGACAGAACCCTGGACTTTGCACCATCTGCCCCATGTGGGCAACCACAAGGATCTCCTTATAGCCAACAACCTTCAGAAAGGGCAAATGCTATGGGGCAGAAGTTTTCTTTCTCCAGCTCTTTGTTCAGCTCTAATTTAAGAAGCAGAGTCTCAGCAGGAGGAGAAGGACTTGCAGAGTAAGATAACACCCTCTCACATTAGAAACAGTTCAAACCCAGTGGATTTCTCTTCTTATTTAGGGAAAAGACAAGTAGAAGTTGTGAGTGTAGAAAGTGGCATCTCACAGTCTCTCGTTAATCACTGTCTAAATGAAAGTCATTTATTATCTCATACCTGGCTTTCTGAGCATGCAGTGCTTGTAAATGCTAATCTAAAAACTTCCAGCCTTTTTAAACATACATGAAGGGCTCTCATACTTTCGGCTCCTTCCTCCCCTGTGTGATTCTTTCGATAAATTTTTCATGACAAGGTGCAGCCCGGGGAGTGAGGAAGGAAAGAGCAATGGTCTGGGGCTGGATTTGGCCCATACTTCAGTGTTCTAGAAAGGGGATTTCTATACTTTGCCCGCTGTAAGGACAGTTCTTCCAATAATCACCCATGGTTTCATGATGAAACACAGCATGGGATTCAGCTGTAGCTGCTGAGCAATGCTGGAGTCCCAAAGCTTCCTCTATATTCAGGCTGTTCTGAATCAAGCCTTTATTTGATGCCACAGGACATAATACAGACGATCAACCTGATTATCACTACAACACGGACTTGGCTCCACCACCTTCCTGAATTCTTCCCTAAGACTTAAACCCCAGCATTTGGTATTCCTTGTGTTCTGGTTACAAACTTTCTCAACACATGACATTTTTTTGGTTAATAATCAACAAACCTGCACAGATATCTTTAACCAATCCTCTGCTAGGCTCCAGTTGGAGTTGGAAGGCTTTAGAGTTGGAAGGGATTTTTAAAGGCCATCTGGTCCAACTCCCTTGCAATGAATAGGGACATCTACAGCTCAGTCAGGTGCTCAGACACACCATCCTGACGTTGGATGCCTCTAGGGACAAGGCATCCTCTATGCCACTGGGCAGCTTGTAAAGGTGCCTCGCTGCCCTTATTGTAAGAATGGCAGTGAATCTAGTTGACCTAATGAGGTCCAGACTCATTTGGACTTCATACAGAATCGTGCCTGAACAATCCCAAATTCTACCTTTGACAGCAAGAACATTTTTCACTGATGTATCTTCACCAGCATAGACCTGTAATGTCAAATGTAGCTGTACATCAACTAAGTTCATTGTGCTTTTAAACGTGTTTGTAATTTGGCACAGGACCATGATGCAGTGGCCATGAGAGTTTGGATTATTTGGCTGGGATAAATCTGCAGTACATAAAAGATTAAAGCCAGAGTTCCTACTTCTTTCCCTTATCTCCAAACTACAGCGCAATCTACTTCCCATCTGGCAGCAAAATGAAGTATTTTTTTGCATTTGGGGATATGGTTTAGTGGGCGTGTTGGTGTTGGGTTGATGGTTAATCTTGATGACCCTTGATTTCTTCTCCAGCCTTAATGATTCTATGATTTTGCAGACAGTATGTGTACACGTGTTGTCTACATACACACACACAGATGGATTAACTCCTTAGACTTACTTTTGTTAAGGACAAATCACTCAATGGTGTTACATGTCACACCAAGTGAGGCCAGTGCAAGTTAAAACAAGGCTATCTCTGAGATGGCTTGTTTGACATAGTTCATCTTTCAGGTAGTTACTCAACTTCAGTTTTTCTTTTGTTCTCTCTTCTTTCATATTAATGTATATATTCTTTCATTCAAGCCTAAAACTCAGTCAGTTTCACCACTCGAAAAGGGTATTTTCACTTCCAGTCCTCTTCCACTTGAAAAACTTTTCGTTACTTAATGGACGCTATCTAAGGGTGGATGATTAACATTAATCTCTAGTATTGTCCCTCTGCACTGTGTTGGCAGCAGCAAGACACCCTTCATTACCATAGAATCTGGAGGCAGCATGTTCCTACTCATAAACAGCATTAGCATGTCTCATTTCCAAGTCTTTTTGTTACATTCAAAAGATGCCTAGCATGTCTTGCATGCAAAGACACCTGTTAAGAGTGGGCTTCAAACAGGGTTTGAAAGCCATTTGCTCCTTCTGGGGCCTGGGCATCCTGCTCCCTAGATAATTAGCAATAGGAGGGGTGCACTTGATGCTAACTTGAAATTAGCAGCCTTCCTTCCTTCACTGAGAGGTCATGTCTTGCACTGCAGATAGGAAGAGAGGAAAGGAAAAAATACTTATGGGGATAAATACACCAAGAGATGAAGTATATTGACCAAGATCCCACAGAAAGATAGCAGATGTTGCAGCCATTCTCTTTCAGTTTGGGAGACCTCAGGTGTCAGTTTGTAAGTGGAGGATATGTATAGAATCATAGAATCATTAAGGTTGGAAAAGACCTCTAAGATCAAGTCCAACCATCGACCCACTCCCACCATGCCCACTAAACCATGTCCTCAAGTGCCACATCTCCACAGTTTTTGAGCACCTCCAGGGACAACAACTCCACCACATCCCTGGGCAGCCTGTATACATGGTGATGTGGGGGGATCCATCTGAGGTTCTGTGTCACATGAGGGTGTGAGATGCAACCCCTTGGATGGCAACTGGAGCAGAGCCCTCCAAGGAAGATAAATCCATGAGGTCTAGGGCAGTGTCTTATCTCCTCCAGCTCTTGGAGAAGCACAGCTGTGTGCCGATCCTTGCTGGAGTTGCTCTGTAAGCATTGGTATATGGGTTTCCAGACAGCACAGGTGTCATGGCATTAAGAATCATAGAATCATAGTATTGCTCAGGTTGGAAAAGACCTTAAAGATCATCAAGTCCAACCACAACCTAACCATACTACCCTAACTCTAACAACCCTCTGCTTAATCGTGCCCCTTGCTGCTCACCTGTGGTCCTGGTTTGCCCTGGGGCCCTTGAGGTCCATCTGGTCCTGCTGCTCCAGCTTTTCCAGGCCATCCCATTTGTCCTTTGAAGCCTCGCAAACCAGGAATTCCCTTTGACCCCTAAGAATCAGCAGTAGAGAGCAGTTCAGAGATTTTATCAAGCACAGGTGGTTTTAGAGACAGGCAAACCAGATATTATCCAAATATCTTCATGGGCCTTGGCTATACAGTGAGACCCTTCGGTTTTGCTTTCCATGTCTACTCTTCCAGAAAGCACATCATTGCTTGGTGACATGGATGTCCCTCCCCTCTAGGATGATGCCCAACAACTCCTAATGCCCAACTTTCTTTAAATATGTAAGAAGATTCCTTTAGTCTGTCTTTTCCCATATCCATGTCTACTGCACCTAGGAGGCAGCAGTGTTATCCATTTTCTCTCCTCTGCAGCATGCCCAGCATCCTGTGTATGGTGGTGTTAAAATCATAGAACTACAGAAAATCCCAAGATGGGAGGGACCCATAAGGATCATCCAGTCCAAGTCATTGAGTTGAATAAACTCTGACAACTCATCCCACTTCAAAGGTCTGGATGGCTTTTCCTCATGCTAAGCATGCACCCTCCTGGGGTTTCATGCATCAGCAGGAGGTGAATTTAAGAAGACCTCCTTCTCCTGCCCTTTCCACCTGCAGTCCCAGCCTTAATGCTCCAGACAGTTGACATTTGACCGCTGAAAAGGGTACCTATGATGCATAAAGTGCATAATATTGTTAACTTGACCTGATGGATGTGGGATTCATTCTTTTATAAATGGCAGCTCGATGCAGTGTGGTAAGCACTAACCTTTTCTCCTTTCTCCCCAGGAATCCCAAAGGCACCGTCATCACCTGGTGCTCCTTGTTCACCCTGGAGGGAGCCAAGATAAAATCACTGCTGATGCAGACTTGGCATGGTTGCAATTTTCTGAACAAACCGCCTCTTCTTCACATTACAATATTATTTATTAAGTGTAACCCATCAGAATCTCTCAGCCTGTGCACTAGTGGTACTCAAAGAGACTGAAAGTAATCATATTAAAAAGCCCCATTACTTATCATGTGCAGTAGTGCATGAGAAGCATCTGGGCTGGGGTGGATGAAGTTGGCTGAGTTGAGTGAAGAGGTCCCTAACCCCAGATGTCCAAGAATTTTCACCCAAATATATGTCGGGCTATAGGATTAGATACAGAATAACCCTGTTTGTGCTGTCAAAAAGAAAGAAGCACATTACACAGGTTGTTTCCCAAAGGTTTTAGGCAATTTCCCATTTGTTGGCAGATGTGCGATTTAGGTATTCACCTTTGGTCCATATGGTCCATCTGCTCCTGGGATTCCTGGTTTTCCAGGACTGCCAATTTCTCCCTGTGGATGCAAAATCAATGAATGGGATGTAAGCAAACACAATCTCTAAAACACTGGGAAAACTAGCTCCAAAATGGCAAGGCGAGTAAATGGCACTGTGGAGGGTATGGAAATAATGACACTTCTGGTAGGAGAAACCCTAAATACAGGAAAATTCCTACTTCAGATTGATGCAGACTTTAGACTGCCCTGACTTCATAATCACTTATGTGAAAGTAGGTGGGAAGTCCACTGAACAGTACTTAATTTGCCCAATAGGCCAAGGCAGATGAAGGAAAATATTAATAATAAAAATATATCCCCTTGGTTCAGTTGTCAAGTGTTCCCTTACATCTTACTGAGCTCTTCAAAACCCTTCATAAAAAGACCATTAAGGGCCATTATCCCTGTTTATAGAGAAAGGACTGCTGGTGCTGGCAATCAGTGCAATGTGCCTGGCAGTAATTGCAAATTAAGTCCAGGCAGTTGCTAAGCCACAGACCAGAAGGATATTTCAGAAGGAGTTCAGATTGTAAAAAAGAAAAGAAGTGTCAATCCCCAGACTGTGACCACATATCTCTATGCTGCAGCCTGGAGCTTCAAGCCATAGAATCATAGAATCTTTAAGGTTGGGAAAGACCACTAAGATCATCTGGTCCAGCCATCAATCCAACACCACTGTGGAGAGGGTCTTCTGCATGAGCTAGCATGGTTTTTTCAAGCATGGTGCTACCCTTGTAATGAGTAAGAAATAGGAATCACTGCTGGAAATGGGGCTACCAGAGCAGGAGATAGAGCTAGGCTGAGCTCACCTTGATGCCCTTGGCTCCTGGAGCACCAATGCGTCCTGGCAGCCCACGTAAGCCCTGGGGAGAAAGCAAATCATGGGAAGTCATTGATGTTGTATCAAGGTGAAGGCAAGTAGGATGAAAACTGTGCACTTAGTTAGCCCTAGTGCAAGAATATCCCTGACCCACAGGACCCTTCCCCATGAACCCCATTCAGCCTGGAGTCTGATTTCTCCTCTCTGCCTGTTTCAACCTTTGTTTCACAGGATGACAGAGTGGCTGAGGTTGGAAGGGACCTCTGGAGATCATTTTATCCAACCATTCTGCTCAAACAAGTCCATAAAGTGATGGCTGTCCAGGACAACATCCAGACAGCTTTTTGAATATGGAGATTTCATAGGATCTCACCCAGCCCCTACCTTTATTCCTTTCCGCCCAATGTCTCCAGTGATCCCAGGATCACCTTTTTCTCCCTAAAAACGAAATGAAATGAAATGAAATAAGATAAACATATAACACACATCCTGACAGGTTAAGAATGCCTCCCTGGTGGTTAAAGGTAGCATCATTTTACATTTCTTTGTTCTTTTAACCACTTGGGACTCCTGGAAAATTTGCAGATCATAGATTCATAGAATCACTGGATGATTTGGGTTGGGAGGGACCTTTAAAGATCATCTACTTCAGCACTCCTGCCATAAGCAGGGACATCTTTAAACAGAACAGCTTGTTTTAAACCCTGTCCAACATGACTTCCATATGGGAAATCCACAGCTTTTCTGGTCAGCATATTCCAGGGTCTCTCCACTCTCATTATTGAAAATTTCTTCCTCATATCCAATCTAAATCTATATGTTTATTTTCTGTTTAAAACCTTTCCCCCTTGTTTTGTTACCATAGGACCAAATAAAAAGTCTTCCTTTGTCTTTCTTATAACCCCCTGTTACACATGGAGTTAAACAACCTCAACTCTCAAGTAACAAAGGAAAACACATTGTGAATGGGAAAAGTTGAACGGCACCACTAGAGATACACACATAAATGCTCTACTGGCATCTAGAGAAGTCTCCTAAAAACTGGGCCAGGATGTGCATTAGAGCCCTCTCTAGGAAGTTCAGGGAGAAATTTCATCTCTTTTTTTGGAAGAGTTGCCCTGAACTCTTATTTCTAATTCCAGTAATGGGAAACACAGGATGTGGGAGGAGAAATGAGCTCAGGTTTGAGAAAGACCAGGAGCCTCTTTCTGCCTTCCAAACTAACCATATCCTTTCTTGCTACTCACTGGCTTCCCCTTCTGTCCCTGAAGACCTCTGTCACCTTTGGCTCCCTTGATTCCATTCCTCCCATCGAGGCCTGCTGTACCCTGCCAAAGAGGAGCACAATGAATTTCTGGGTTAGCTTTTGCAAGGAGATCACAGAGTACAGTCATCAGGGTGGAAATTCAGTAGTAAGAGCCTGAGTAGAACGTTCCAACAGTTGGAGATCAGAAGCCATCCTAATACTAGCACTGAAAGATGAGGCTTAGGTTAACAACCATTGACAACCAGTAGCAAGTGCAATCCAGAAGCTGGCTTTTTTACAATCACAGGTTGGGAAACTGAGGCACACAGAGGTTAAAGAGTAGTTCTGGGGAAGAAAATTGGGATGGTGATGATTGCAGTTGGAAATAGGAGCAGAAACACTAAGCAGGCAGCATCCCACTGTGTGAGTTGTTTTGTTGGGTTGCCCACAATCCTGGGCACTGGGTCAGCAGCTCAGTTTCAGACCCATTCAGTCAAGGGAAGAAGTGCTATGTGGTGAAATTCAGTTTGTGAACAACCATTCTACTTGCTGAGTGCAGATCCATGCATGGGGTTGTTCACCGTTGCAGTGCAGAGAACACCTCCCATCTGTGGATGAAAGAGATTCTCATCCAGCCCAAACACATGGGCAATATAGGACAGAGTTATTCCTCCATGAAAACACCACAGCATTGCAATCTGGAGGTCTATGAGCCATTCTACGTCTTAGCTCATCCTGGGACATACAACACTTCATCAAATATTTATTTATATTTTGGATTAAAGGCAGTATTTGAGGACACACAGCATGCTCTTCCAGGGCTCTGTTGATCACATCTGGATTGGGTAAAGTCCGTGCTCCTCAAGCCCTGCTTGCATGATCAGACCTGAATATCTCATGCATGCTGTTTATTTATTGGTAACTATTTATTGAAACAATCAATATGAAGCTCTTGCCGAGGAAGTAAATGGACTATAAAAAGCACAACTAATTAGAATTCCTGTTTGCTAGGACAGATTGAATGCTTAGAGGGTAATAAACCTTTTGGTTCAATGGTTAAATCTCAAGAGCCCAGGATACCTTCAATTGCCTGGCATTTTTCAGATTGCTCTGAACTAGGTACAGATCCATCTGGCTAGGGATTTATATATATACACCTGTACCCAAGGGGATGGGCTAAGGCTTACTCTTGAATACTGCCTGGTCCTGAAGGAACTTGACACTAGCTAGCAACTTCCCAATTAGCTCTAATAGCCCTCTCAGCACCTGAATTTATTCATCCATAGGGGTTTCTGTGTCAAAGTGAGACCCTTCTGTCTTTTCTTGTGCTTCCTCTACCTTCCTGTCTCCAACTCATAGCTCTCCAGTGAGCCTTAGACTGCAAGGTGCTTCTTGCCTTCAGTCTGAAGGGAGCCCAGATGGCTTTAGGAAGAGTAAAGCTCAGAGTACGTGCTGTTAAGTAGAAGGGTAAATGGTCTTAGGTACTCAGTACTCCAGTAAATCATAAAATCATTAAAGTTGGAAAAGGCCTCTAAGATAATCAGATCCAACCATCAACCCATTGCCACCATGCCCAGTAAGCCATGTCCCTCAGTGCCAAATCTCCTCATATCTTGAGCACCTCCAGGGATGGTGATTCCCCCACCTCCTTGACCATCCTGTTCCAATGCATCATCACTCTTTCAGAGAAGAAATTGCCCCTTATAACCAACGTGAACCTCCCTGTCTGAAAAGAGTCAAGGAGGAAGAGGATTTAAAAATGAGAATGAGAGGAAAATGTTCATGCACTGAGCAAGGGAAACAAGCTGAATGGGAATTTGTTCCCTACGATTTACATTCTGTGTTTTGCCAGGGCAAATGGAGGCTGGGCAATAAAAGCTAGTAAAATGACAGTTTAAAGGCAATTACTGGTAGACTACTGGAAACGGCTTTTGCTGTTTGGTTCTGTTATTAAAGTGTTGCTGGAACAGGCTTCATTTAACTGTAAAGACACCAGGTTCCACGAAGGCACGGCAATGGAGAAGCTTAGTCATAAGTCCTGACGCAAAGATGACTTTGAGCTGAGGTTCTCTGCACAAATTCCTGCAAAGATTTGGGCTGGAGCCAGGGAGGAGCCTGTGTGATCACCAGGCTCAACGTCTCCATTCAGATGAGATGAGAAATTAGCTGGGTCACCCTTGGAAAGCATCAAATCCATCTGCAGGAATGCATTGCAACCCGAAAAAATCAATCCAAAGCAGCAGGGAAGACACATGAAAGGACAAATGCATTTCCAAACCATGATAGAGGCCAGCCACGTTCAATCCAGGCACAGGGAGGGCAGTGATGTGCAGTGCAGACTCAATTGATAGCAAATAATTGTATGCATCTTGCTGCATTGGCTAAACACAGTGAAGAATATGCAGCTGTTATTTCCATTTTGATAAAGGAGTTTGAAAACAAGTTTAAACATTGAAAAAAAAAAATTAAAAAATCATAAATTTACGTTTATGACACCATTTTCAGTTCATATCAATACAAGACCTGCAAGTCTTGGAACAGATAGAGTTGCAATCAGATATGCAACTAAAAAAATCTGATCATGTCTCTCTACCCCTTTCATTATCCCTCTCTTACCAGAGGAAAACATCCCTTGCTTCACACTCACACCTTATTCATTAGCATACTGCCAAAAAGCAATGGCATTTGTGAACAGTTGTCAAGGATGAAGTGCAGGAAAAGTAAAGTTTCATCAAAAAAGCCCTAATCAACACCTTGAGAATGTTCTAAGAATTGCAGCCACTTCCACTGAACCAGACTGATGCATCAGCTTCACAAAATCAAGGTCAAATATTCCACCAGCTGTATGCTTTTGTTCCTCTCTCTTTTCTTTTAAACACTTTAAGAAAAATATTAAAAATTAAAATGTCTTGTTACTTATATTCTGATGATGGCATATAATTTAACTAGGGTTCCTCCAAAAGTAATGCCTCCTGTTTTATGATGTTGGCCCATAATGTCAGAGGCGGATGTTGATGATGATATGGTAGAAGTTGATCCTTCCCAACAGTATCCTCTCACATTTTTGTTGCTATGTGACAGGAGGCAGCAGAGGGGCACAGTCTGACAGAATGTCACTTGACATGGAAGTGTGTATGGAACAAGGGTGTATCACTGAATTCACCCATGTGGAAAATATTGCACCCATTGGTATTCACTGACACTTGCTGAATGTTTATGGAAACCAAACAATAAATGCTGCGCAGTGAGGCAGTGGGTGGTACATTAAACAGTGGCAGTAATGGGTCACCTCTGCTGGTGCACATTTTTACGAGCACAACATGTGAGTTCTTGTCTATCATTGGTGAAAATACATAGCTGCTGGTGGTAACTCTGTTGAAAAATAGTAGCTCATAGCTGAGAATTTGCTCTATCAAACAGTGTTATTCTGCCCTCTGTGTCTGTCGTAGTCTTCATGGAAATAATTAGGAAGCATTACTTTCGGAGCAACTTATGTGCATGGGGCTCAAGGTCCAAGTATGCCAAAAGTTCGGAGACTCATGGCATAGGCTGTTAGCTTTGCTAAAATGTTTCCCACCTCCTGGCCTTCAGTGCTTAATATTTGATGGGATGATACACCTGAAGTAGCTGAGTGTCTCGATGTGAGAGTTCAACTGTGTTTTTATCCCTTCCCTGCTGCGTCTTGTATCTGGAAGTCAATTTGTTTGGGCAGAGATTTCCACCTGTGGCTAGAAGGTCTGGATGACCAAAGTTCCTGATTACCTTGGACTTTCCAGAAATGCTCATGGCACCCTCTTTGGCAAAATCATCCCAGATAATGGCTTTTCCTACCCTACATGGGAAGTCAGAGGCACCTCTTGTCAAGCCCAGGATGAACATCCACACCCCACCTAACCTCACCTCTGGCTTGAAACCACCCACTGCTCAGCAGGCAGGAGAATTGGGTTTCCAAATGGGGTTAACTATTAGGATTTCATTAGGTCCGTGCAGCTGGTGGAGGGAGGTAGGGCTCTCATGTTGGTTCCCTGAATAGCTCTTCAATAGCTCTATCTGCTTCAAGAGCTCTGGTGCTCTTATGTTGTCTGATAAAGTCAAATTCATGTTGGGTATTATCAAACCTAACATAGTCTTGAGTTAGAGGGCCTTGGTTGTAATGTAATGAAGTGGTTCTCTGCACAAATTCCTGCAAAGATTTGGGTTGGAGCCAGGGAGGAGCCTGCGTCAACAGCCATTTGGCTTCCTCAGATATAGGGCAAGGATCCAAGGACTGCTGGGCAGCTATAGAGCCCAGTTCTCACGAGGACATGAAGAACATCTTTGAGACTCTATCTGTAAAGCTAGTGAGGAGGACTGCAAGCCAGTATGGAGAGGACCTAAGAACACTCATAACTGTGGACTCTGGAAACACAAAATAGGGAGTAATAGCAAGAGATGGGGAGAAGAGTACTCATAATACAGCTTTAAGGAGAATAATGGGTTAATCTGCCAGAATTTTAGTGCATTGAAAGAAGAGGTATATAGAAGAGGAGTTGGAAGCTCTAATACATGATCAAGATTGCACTTTAATAGGCATAACACAGACTAGAATATTAATATCAAAGGGTGAAGCAGGGCAGGAATATAAATGTAAGTGTGTAGTGCTTTTAGAAAAGAGGGAAGTGTCTTGAATACCAAGAATGCACTCATTTGCCTTGAGATCCAGTTGTAAAGTCATCTAAATCCATTGAAATTCTCTGGACAATGATTATAGGGAGGGGATACAAACATTGTCACTTGGTTGGGAAGTCCTATAGACCATCAAATCAAAAAGGTAATTGGATGAGACTTATTACAAGCTGGTTTACAAGAGCGATTTTTGGTCGTGCTGGAACTTTTGTCTCCCCAGATACCAGCCAGGAGGGAATTCAGTAGGATGTAAAGCAACTGGCGAGTTTTTGCAGTAAATTGGTGGTGATTTGTAAATACGATGGATGGAATTAGAGGTGGCTGAAGGAAAGTGAAGACAGCGAGATATTATCACTGGGGCTTTGCATAAGAGATTGGGTACAGGCAGAGTGGAACAAGTCATATCTGCCTTGAAGAAAAGGGAAAAAGAAGACTAGAGCAATGATAGATGAAATAGCCTAAACCCCCCCTCTCCCTTAACATGGGAGAAAACAATCAAAGCATCTGTGAACATTCTGAAGACAAAGTGAGACATTGTCAACCTGGTTTTGTGGAGAGCAAGTCACACCGGGATGTCATGTCCTACCATGGTGTCTGAAATAGATTATATGAGTCATGGTCTGAGAGTACCTAAAACTCTCTATTAAATAGTCTCAGTCCAGCGTGCTTGGATGCAGAAAGCGAACACGGCAGACATCTAACCTGAGGTCAGATGAATTTCATCCAGGCTGTTGTATATCATGGCTCCTCTGTCACAGCCCTGGCTTTGATGTGAGAGTTGCAATTTTAGAAATGTAATGAAAAAACAAAACCAAGCATAGTGTTCTTAGTCCAGCTCCAAGCACAGCAGGGATTGTGTTCCCCGCACCAGCAAAATCACCAAATATTTTCCAAAGAAGGATTACTTAGCTCTCCTCGGATAATGATCAACAAGATGCCAATTTCTGGTCATTAATTATGTCATGAACTGATCTTTATGGGTGCTGGTAGAAAACTGCACATCTCGCATCCACAGGTGGACTGCTGCTGGTCAGGATGGTGGATTCCCACTGGAATTCAATTGAGCTTCCTTTGATGCTCTACAAACATCTCTATTCACTCCCTGCGCTACCAAATTTTAATGCTAATATTTGTCACCTATGGATTCAGGTGCTCATAGTGAAGCAGTTTCCAAAATGTACTCTACATGCTGTGATCAGAGAATCATAGACTGGCTTGGTTTGGAAGGGACCTCAAAGATCACCCATTTCCATCCCCCAGTAATGAGGGGTGCAGCATACTGATGTCTTATGTCGTTCTCATTGCTCTGGTGAAGTGCTCATCAGCTGCTTGCAGTCAAGCAGAGGTTGAAATGCTTAATTGAATGAGGGCATTTTTCTCAGCAAGCAATTACTAGTTTGGATCACGAGCTCATAAACACTACACAACCATCACCAGTAATCAGCTGAGCAACTTCATCTGTTCATGTCTGAAAATGCCCCTGGAAATGCTAAAGGCATTAAAAATAATAAGTAGATGCATATTTCATGTGCATTCATATTGCATGTTTGTGATGCAAAACACAATGTCCTATTACAACTTACCTTTGGCTTTGGTCCCTCTTGCCCAAGGCTGATTTTCCAGCAAAACCTCTCTGAATGTGGGCTTTGTGGAAAAGCACAGAGCCAACATCACCTCACCTCCCCCGTGACCCATTCATGTGGCCATAGGTGGAAGTGCCAGCCCAGCTATGTGCCCAAAGACAGAGAAACATGCTCCAACTCACGGCAGAGCCCAGCAGGCCTGGTTCTCCTGGCTCTCCCTGAAAGGAAAACGATGATGAGTAACAAGGGGAAAGTGCTGCTGTACTTCCTGTGGAATTGGGGATTGTCAGAGGACATAACTACAGCAGATGGAAGGGGCAGATAGGATCCCTTAAACATCTCAGATGGGCAACTGAAGGGAGCCCTATGTCTCCACTGAGTATAATTTAGACAGGAATTCATACCTTGCATGTAAATGCTGACATTTCAGCAAACCATTACTATCATAGCACAGGGAAGATGTCAGAGCACTCTGCTGCTTTAGAAAAAGGGAAGAATCTCTTGGGCTTTCCTGGCTACTTCTGCTTTTTGGTAACTCCACAACATTTAAATCAGCAATTTCAAAGAAGAAATAATACAATCAATCATAGAATGATAGAATGGTTTAGCTTGGAAGGGACCTTAGTGATCATGCAACTCCAACCCCCCTGCTGTGGGCAGGCTGCCCCAAGCCACATCAGGCAGCCCAGAGCTCCATCCAACCTGGCTTTGAATGCCTTCAAGGATGCAACATCCACACCTTCTTTGGGCAAAGAATCATATGGTGAAAAAAAAAAAGTATATGAAATCCTGTCAAAGGATTTTATATATCAATTCATGTGTGATTTTACAGTTCAGTCCTTAAAGATGATACCTTAGAATAGGTATTGGGCATACTCACTTTCTGTCCCACTGGTCCTCTTGTTCCAAAAAGCCCCATGGCTCCCTTGGAGCCAGCTTCACCTCTGATTCCCTAAAATTATAGAATATCTGTCAGATACATTCTAAGTACACTGTGCTCTTGAAGTGGCCCCTCCTGAGAGAGAACCCTATGAAGATGGAAGAGTGAAGGACAATAAGAATAATTTCTATAGCAGGCTTCACCTCCAAGGATCCCAAAGATCCTTATGGCGGCCAGTGCCAGGGAAGGAAGCCACCAGCTGCAGAAACATGTCTCAGTTCTGAAAGGGAATTAGTGCCTGGTGATTGGGACCGAAGGAAAATAAGCAGAGAAGGGCCTCAGATATTTTAAAGAAGTTGCCTCTTTGCTAATGCTGAAGTACAAAACCCTGGTTGAATGTCTAGTGGTGGAGTAGTGGTGCTCCATCTAAATACACTCAGATATTCAGCCAAAAGGTGCTGTTGCTTTAGGAGACGCTTACATTTTATTATTATTATTATTATTATTATTATTTAATAAGAGAGCAGTCTGACAGATATTGTGTGTGAGACTTCATCTGACAAAAACACAAGTATCACCCATGGGACCTTCTGCACCTTGCTTTTACAGTCACTGGGGATCTAATCAGGGATGCTGCTGTTGTAGACACTTACATTTATTCTGCACCATGTCAGACTTTTAGAACAAAACCCATTAACATGATACAAAAATAGGGATGACTGGTGCATGGAGATTTAATTCATGACTCAGTCTGAGTGGGAGAGTTATGTGATTCCTTCCAGTGGAGTGATGGGTTGAGACCTGACACCTCCACAGGTGCCAAGGCTCAAGTCCAATCCCAGCCCATCCCTATCGTATCCCTCAGTGCCACATCTTTACATTTCTTGAACATCTCCAGGGACAGTGATTCCACCACCTCCCTGGCAGCCTGTGCCAATGCATTACCACTTTTTCTGAGCTTCAGGGTTTCAAGCAGCATGTCCAGCTCTTGGAGAGAAACAGGACTCTTCCAATGTTATGTGTCTCTGTCCCATTGGGAGGTTCATACCTTTTCTCCTGCAGGTCCATCCTCTCCCTTCTCGCCTTTGTCTCCATCAAAACCTGGCAGGCCTTGTTCACCCTGAATGATAGGACAGGAATTGTGAGGTTGTGCCTCTCTCAAGAAAGGACCCATCTCTCAGTCAGTGGCTTTGGAACAAAGCACTGGTTTGCAATGGATACCCAAGCTGTGCTGAATCACAACAATAGTAGAACTTACAGAATAACCTGAATTGGAAAGGACTTATATAAGGGTCATCAACTTACAGGATCTCCTTTACTGCCTTTGTAGCCTTGGGGTCCAAAACCAGTCATGGTCTCACCCTAGAGAAAGGAGACACAGAAGAGATGTAGATAACAAGCGGTACCTGAACTCATGGCTCCCACTGGATAGGACCACACTTGCTGTGATGGGGAAAACAGCAAAAGGGTAACAAACATCTGCAATGAAGGTGAGCATTTTCTAAACTGTGGTCCATATGGAAGGTATGGGTGGACAGTAATAAATAAGTTTAATTTTTTCTCAGCTAAAAGCTAGGTGATGAATATGCATAGAAGATGACAAGTTCTGAATTTTGACAGTGATCTCTTGCTCAAGAAAATGTTGGGGCCCAATGGCATAGCCAGTCTAGATGTCCCAACTAGAAGTGGAGCTGTGCATGGGAAAGTGGAACCCCGAGGTTCAATTCCCAATCTGAAGTCATGAGTGATCAGACAGGTCCATATCTGACATGGTGGCTTGGCTCCTTCGTCACCACGTGTCACTTGGGATGTCAAGGTTTGCATCTCCTCCCACGTGCAGGACCTGGTTGTAGGCTCATGGTGCCCTGATTTATGGTCATGCAGCTGGAGCTGAGGTTGGTGAGTAGTACTTATGGCACCCATCAGAGCTAGCTTTTTTTACATCAGAAACATTGATTCTGCAAGCCAGGGCACTGTGACCAGCTGACAAGTACATGCTTCTAATATGCTTCCCCAAAAGCATTCCAGAGAGTGCCATTAGCATCTCTGGGACACCCTGAAACTCTACATGGCAATACGAAGAACAGGTGCAGATGCAGCAAGGCATGGGTTTTGGAGGCAGGACAGTATGGAGGGTGATCTCCTATTACAGACACAGAAAGAAGCACCTTTCCCCTTTGGAAGATTTTAAAATTCGATTTGGATGCTGAGTGCAGCCTGCAGTTAGAATTTCACTATTGTTATTAGCAGCGTACAGCACGGATTTATTCATTTTTTTTTCCCCTTGGAAGATAAATTAACCCCTTACAGGCTGGTAATTCTCCTTGCTAGCCCCTTTTGGCAACTGTAGCCTATCTGAAACAGTCTCCCTTTATACCAGCTCTCTTCAATGTTGCAAATATCCATCCCTTTTTGGGAAGACTGTGTTTTGCTGCTAGACTCTTAACAAACACCCATGAATCAACATTCCCCAGAATTTGACCATCTTTTGCAACTTATACAGTGATCACTATCAGATCCTGCTCCAAGCCTATCTTCATATGCTTCCTGCTTTCCTGCTTTTCAGTGTTTGTAATGGAGATGGGATGGGGCTCAAGCAATTTTGCAGACAAAAGGGAGCATAAAGATTCTGTAGTTTAATCCAATGCACAGCACAGGCCCTGAAAAGCACACAGTTCCACTTGTATTGATGGAGAGAGAGTTATAAAGTAAGTTAAACTGTAACCATGGGGAATGAATCCAAGCCAATCATCCCTCTCTCTCAGTTCTATCTCATACACCTCTTTATATTTTATTAAGGTATTCTTTGGAAAATGCATTACACATTCCTTCAACTCGGGAAGTGTTTTGGGGCCTCCTCACGAAGCAGATTAGGAGTTGATTTGTCTCTGGAGCAAGTCCCTTTTGAAAGCAGCCTCCTCAGAGACAAATTGGTCCTGATCATTTAATGCCGCATGACTCAAAGGCGAAATCATCATGTAGGTTTTCAAAAACTCATTTTCTTACAAGCCACCTCAGTAAGGGAGGAAGTTAACAAAACACTGGACAGAAATTCAGCATTTTCTGTTCACTTTCTGCTCTCAGGGTTATTTTGCATTACCTGCCATGAGCCAGACTGGGGTGTGCTTTGGGGCGAGCTCATTAACAAAAGTCAGTGGAACTTTTTTTTCTTCCCTTACATCATAGAAAGCATTTTTGTGCCCCAAAAAACTGCTGCTGAAATGACTTCTTTTTTGCTCCTATTGACAATGGCTGTTGTCAATGGCTGTTTGTCAGCCCATTAAGACTGTGGTGCCAGATCCACTCTGACCATTGCATAGAGTGCAAGCAAGAAGCCAGTAAAGTGGATTGAACCCACCGGAAAATCCCATGAAGGAAGGAAGCATCTAAAACTTGCATTCAACTGCATGGGTGTATAAATGTAGAGAGAATGGTCCCAAACTCTTGGGTGTACATAGTGAAGGGACCATCTGTAAATAGGGAAACAACCATTAGACAGAAGGAAAACACATACCAGTATTTCTTATCATTTATGTCTCTACTTTGTCTGATCACTGAACTGTTCAAATAACTGTCCATCTGCTCACAGGTAACAATAAAGCCCTAACAGCCTTTTACCCCATCTGCCCCAAAAGGTCACAATCTGGAATGTTCTTACTCTTTCTCCCTTGGGTCCCAGAAGTCCCCGATCACCCTGAAACCAAGCAAGAAATAAAGGCAGTGAGCGATTCCCTTTTTATTCACGCTTTCTGTGCTACTCAGTCCACTGATTTGCACACCAAGCCCACCTATCATAGCTGGGAGTCAGCTCCCCTAGGCACTCCGCCAAAGCTTACCATGGGAAATTGTGCACAACTAAAATATATTGTGCTGACCAAAATTAAAGACCTGGGACTGACATGTTTTGATTGACTTCATGCTCAATATGTCCACACTGCAGAACTGTCATTGGATTTCCACCTTCCAATGGGGCACGGCAGCTCTGGTAACATGTCAGTACTACACCTAGGGTGGGAAGGCATCCTGTGTTTTATAGAATTTCCCAAATTTCAATCTCAAATCTTGGATTTTGCAGTAAAAGTGTATGAAATACTAACTCTTCCACAACGCTTTTTGTAGGAGGTGGGATATGAAGCTGAAGGGCAGGATTTGGTACTGATGGCATCTCATACCCTTCTTCAGTGCTCATGACTGGCAAAGTGAGAGCAGATGGAAGAGACTGGAAGGCCCAGGTGGGGATATGAGAGCAAAGAGAGACTGTAAAACTGCACTGAGTTGCTTTTGAGTAGCAGCATTGTATGTGGTTGCCTCCATTCCAGTGTTTGATTGCACATCCGTACATTTGGACAAGATTTACTCTTCCCATTGCTGCATTTTTCAACTGCCCAAGGCTTGGAAGAGGGAAATGGCAGAAGGAGAGCAAAGGGATTCCTTTCTGTCCAAACTCCCAAATTTCCTCCCTTCCCACCATCCTAAAAAATACTTTAAAAAGAGGCTTGCAGAAAAATAACATGCACCCTGATCCCAGCCCAGACCTTACAGGGGACTGCTTGTCACTTCAGACTTCCACACATCGATTAAAGTCCCCTCCCAGTCTGTCCCAGAAAGATTCCCCACAATGGTGTGCCCTCCTCTTCAGGAACTGCATAGGAAAAGGTGACAGTGACTGTTGCTTACTCTTTCGCCTTTCACACCTGGGAGACCTTTTAGACCCTGCAAGGACACAAAACAAGATGTGAGGATAAATACAAGTGAGGGAAGATATTAGGAAAAAAAGAGCAGTCTACACTCTAAGACAGAGCTGCCTCCAAGAAGAGATTTCAGCATAGAGAAGCTGCTGGTGGAAGGGGTGCAGAAGCTAGATCGGACAACTTGCCCTGTTTTGCAAGCCTCATGTGGAGACTTTTGTATGCTTAACAGCAACTAGACACAGCCACAATCTCTCAGGTCTCCCATAGGCCCCTCTAGGTGGAGGTGACAGGAACTCCAGTCATCCCTCATCACAGGAGTGGGCAGGGACAGGATAGACTGGGATGGCCCATGGCCAAGTGGCCAAGAGGATAAAGCAATTATGCTTGGCATGACAGCTTATGTCTCACATGTGGCTAAAGGTTTTACAGTCAACCGTTCCAACACAACATAAGAATTTGGGTTCCCCTAACTTTCTATTTCCCACTGGAAGCATCAAACTACTCAATTTTTTTTTAATTGCTCATAGGAATTTTTTTTCCAGCTCTGAAGCTGCCCATACATCATGCAGCCCTGAAATTGTCTATACTGTGAAATCAGCACATTAACACTCACCATCATACCAATGGGGCCCTGGACTCCCATGATGCCCTCGTCACCCTGTTAGGAAAGAGAGGTGTAGTGGTGGCCATCAGCAGACACATGCAACATGCACAGTTCCAGATCCACAATCCATCCCATGAGGGACAATAGGAGTTGAGAATGCAGAAGCCTAGATCTGTAAAGGGAGTTTTGCAACTCTGTTCACTTATATGTCCACATGCATTAGGTGTCCCATGGTTCTGGATTAAAGGACTTAAAGATCTTCATACCACACACATGCCACTGTAGTTGGACAATGTACTCTGTATTCAGAAAATACTTTGGTCAGCTTCAAGTTTCAGCTTCTCCTCAGCTTTCAAGAGAAACACATCTGTAGGATGATCTGAACCTGATTCAGCATGATATTAATCACTCTAAAAAGGTGCCTTCTCTCTGTTTCCATAGGGAGGCATTGGTTGGAATGGCTTAGAAGAAGCAACCTGAGGTTGGGTATCCTAGTGTGTCCTTTCTCAAGCTGTATTTACACGTGACAAAAGCATGGACAGCAAAGGGCAGAGGTCTGAGATGTTCCCAGTGTCCCAGGAGAATTCTCACCTTCAATCAGAGAACTCAGTAGATTTTTATGTGCATTCATAACTTGATTTCAGTAGGACACACCACAGCAAAAAGGTAATCAGAAATTTATCTGAGAACCCACATCGCTGGCTTTCAGAAGGAAGATACCACCAGTCAACTGCTCAATTCATGCCTTTGGAGGTCAATGTGGGGTTCATCTTCATACCTAGCTCTTGCTCCCAGATGCCAGAGAACTTCTTAATGTTTCTTCAAGTGTGCTATTGACTCTTTTTAAACCTTACTACAAGGGATAGCTGGTGGATCTGTGAAGTGCTTCAATGATTTCACTGAGTAGAACCGACAAGACATACATGTCTTTGAGATGCCTGGACTTGGGCATCATCCCGCAAGGCCAAATCTCTCCTATCTGGTCAATATAGTCTGTGATTCTGTAATTCTCTCCAGATTTATGCTGGAGTCAGAAGAGCAGAAACATTATTTCGTCATTCCATTCAGATAACAAAGCTTGAGTGAGGTTTACCCCAGACCTTTCACAGCTGTTGACATTCTCATTAACTGTTTTGTCTCAGGGGCCTCATCGAACCATTCTGCTGGCAGATGGGGAATTTGCCTAAATGGATTGCACCATAAAATCAGTTTATTCATGGAACAGCCACAGACAGAGCAAATTGAAACTTGGCCCTTGATTATGACTCAAGAAGGTCTCCCTGGGGTCTTATTCAGAAGGGGACCAAAACTTCTCAGCAGCCCGAGGAAAAGTGAGCATTGCTTCCCCAGGGATGACGGAGGGTCAGGAGGGAAGGGGGGAACAAGAGTAAGAAAGTTGGAGGTGGATTCCTGAAGGAATGAGTTTGCAGGTAGCATCCCTCAAGCATACAAAATGAGGTCCTTCCTCACTGAGACGTGCGGATGGCTGAATGTAGATGTTACCACTGAAGCTTCCACAGCAAGGGCACAGACATGATGATCAATGCAACACACAGTGCTTGAGGGTGTTCTAATTGCAGAGGGGATTCTAATTGCAATCTGTGGAGAGAATCTGGTCAGTGCCAATTCCAGCTGGGTGTAGCAGTGTCTGTCACCTCCAAATCTGGCCAATGAAAAATTAAAGCAGGCTCTGTTATCAGCTCTTTTGGCATCTTCTGTGATGGGTGAGTAGACAGTGATGGTATAAAGTTGCCTCCAAAGGAGGTTAGCTTGCAACAAGCCAAGCAAAGAACATTTACAGAGAACCTACTTGAGAACCAGGCAATCCTCGGGGACCTCTTGGACCAACAGCTCCAATCCCAGTTTCTCCCTGCAGGTCAGAAAGACAGAAGTCTAATTTGGAGGAAGGACACCATATGCCATAACTACTGCTCAGATTGACCATAGAATCATAGAATCATTAAAGTTGGAAAAGATCTCTAAGTTCATCTAATGCAACTGTCTACCTAACACAGTACTGCCCTCTAAACCATGTTGTCCCTAAGCACCACATCTCCATGTATCTTGAACACCTCCAGCAATAATGACTCCACCACCTCCCTGGGCAGCCTGTTCCAGAGCCTGAGCACTTTCTTAGAGAAGATTTTTCTAATGTCCAACACTGTGGTGGGACTCGATGATCTTTAAGGTCTTTTCCAACCTCAGTGATTCTATGATTTTGTGATTCTATGAAATGATTTAAAAGTTACAGAAAGGGGACTCATTTCCATTGACTTTGTGCAGCTCTCTCTGGAAAATGCCCCAAGAAACTGGGGGAAGAAGGGCATGAAGGTGAGAGGGGGTTAAGCATCTAAATGGGACCAAGGATAAGGAGCCAGGAGATAGCAGTGGGCTGTCACATTACTGCCCAAGGGTTTAAGCTATCTGTGCCCTTCCTGGAAAGCTGGCACTCACCTTGTTGCCTTTGGGCCCAGGTGTCCCAGGAATCCCCTGTAGGATGAAAAAAACCAAAAAACACAAACAACTTTATTTTGCAAGTCCTTGATGCTCTCCTATCCCAATGAAAAGATAAAAGCACACTCAGCCCAGATACCAGGGCCTCAGCCTCTCTCCCCAGCCAAGTCTTTACAGTCTCGCAGAAGGCAAAGGGGGTGATGTATAAAAGTCACCTCTTTTCCTGGGGATCCTGATGGTCCTGCAGGCCCAGCAAGTCCATTCCGGCCTCTCTTCCCACTCTCACCCTTGAAAACAAAATCCTTTAAGGAGGAAAACATCAAAAGGCAAAAGTCCCACTTCTCCCAAGCCAGCCTGAAAGCAGAAGTGTGTCCCTAGGTGCTCCTAGGAGTAGTCTTTGAAATGCTCCCAGTGTGGGGGCATCATTGAAGAGAGGTGGACTTCAGTGCACTGGTGTAGGCAGTATCAGGAGGACCACCCTTGTTTTCTCCTTGGGTTGGACAACACAACGTGCACAGTGCCCTCACACCACCTACCTTCTGTCCTGGTGTCCCACGTAGACCTGGAGCCCCTCTGTCTCCCTGTGAGCCAGGAATGCCAGCACTGCCACGAATGCCTTGAATGCCCTGGGCTCCTGGAGGTCCTGGAGCCCCTGGCTCACCCTGTTGAATGAATAAGAAGGAATTTAGATTTGAGGTGAGATTAATAACCCTCCAGAAGTCCTGAAGAAAGCCCAGTGGTGTATCCTTGAATTCACATAACTGGTACATAGTACTGGGGGTACTCCAGTAAGAGGTGTTCATAGGGATGGAGTAGAGGCTGTGCCATGGCTTAGTAAATGCAGAAGACCATGGACAGACATTTTTATCCTCTGGACCTGACTTGATCTAAAGTGGTCACTTGGAGGACACAGAACACTCCCTCCATCCCAAAACCTCTTACTGTCTTTGCAAGATGGGTCTAACTTCAATGTTGTTACCATCTTCAGTGTCTTTCCCATCTCAGTCACCACTGTGCCCCACACCTAGCAGTGGGATGATCAGCAAAGACAATGGAATGTAACACCCACAGAAAAGCAAGTGAGATCCTATCCAGAGGAGAAGAAAGATGTACCTTAAATCCTGGGGGTCCAGCCTGACCAACAGGGCCTCTGAACCCAATTCCTGGTTCTCCCTGTGAAGAGAAGAAGGTCAGGAAAAAGCAAGACCACTCTTTGCACTATGGGACCATCAAAAAGCACAAACTGGAACACAAGAGATTCCATGCCAGGAAACACTCCTTTCCTGTGTGGATGGTGGAGCACTGGAACACGTTGCCCAGATAGTCCTGTATCTTCTGACATTACCCTTTTATGATGTGTGCCCTGTCTATATAAGCCATCAGGAGTCCCTACATAGGAGGGATAAATGCTGGGTCCCCTGTGAGTATCCCATTCCAGTTGTGACAAGCCCACATCTCAGGAGGTTATCTGGACTCCTCAGCTTGAGATGGGAGGTTAGATACTGGGAAGGTAGAAGAGTCATGGTGGGAGAAGAGATACCTATGGTAACAGTGCTGTTCTTTACCTTCTGACCACTTTCACCTCTGTCTCCTTTGGTGCCCTGTGAAATGAAGAGAGAGAGTTATCAAGCCTGCTGGAGCGGCTGTGTGAAGCACAACCTCACTGGAACACTAAGCAAGAGAGAAGGTTTCCAGTTGTGCTCATAGTCTGTGGCAGGATGGAGTAACTGGAAGTTCAGGGACACCCCTAATGTCCAGTTCTTTTCCCCTGAGAAGGTTGGAAGTGGCTGTGTGACAATGGAGGAGCCAAATGCTCTAACACAAGAGCATGCTGCTCCTGGTGTGTTACTGGGCTCTGGGTCTACTGGGCTGAGCTCAGCGGGTGATGGGTTCACATAGCAGCCAGGGATTTCACTTCTCTATGACAACCCCCAGTGCTGGATTTGGGCCACTTAGCTGGTGACACTGTCCTGTGCCAGTGGCTGAGCCTGACTCCACATCTCACCTTTTCTCCAGGCTCCCCCATCTCCCCAGGCTGCCCCTGCAAGACAAAAAGATCCATCTTCCAGCCACCTCCCTTCTCATGCCCATGGTCCCTGCACAAAGGCATTGAAATTCATGGTAACCCATGCAAAATACCCTCTTTCCATTGGACTGTGAAACAACCCTCCCTTGTCCACTTTTCTTTTGAATATTTGGGTCCCAACACCTCAGATCTGTTTGTCCCTTATGAGAAGTATTCATGCCGAGGCACTTTGTATGGCTGAATGCCTGCTTTGGTGGCAGAAACCATAAGAAACCTGGGGCTGGGTCTGACCCTTTCCTCTATCCCTGTTTACATCAGCACAATCTCCCACAGACCCTGAATGTCCACTTCACCAGGATGTCCCAGCTTCTTATCTTCCAGACCCTATTAGAACAGGGAGCCTTCTCCAAGTCCCAGAGGCTCACAAAAGCCTTATTGCTACCTTTTCTCCTTTGTTTCCACGGGCTCCTGGAGCTCCCATTTCTCCCTGGAAAACAAATAGCCCATTTAGTTCAAGTATAAAGAACATTTCCTTCCCTTTCTGGTCAAGATAGGTGCTGATTTCATTCCTGCATCATATTTCAGGAAGCAGTAATGGAGGACCATCTCCTTTCCATTGCATTTCTGATGGATCATCTGGTTGGGCTATCCCAGCCAGATCCAAACCATAGAATCATAGAATATCCTGAGTTGGAAGGGAGCCATAAGGATCACTGAGTCCAACTCCTAAGTCCAACCAGAGTCCAACCAGATTAGGACTGTCCCTGAACCCATCCCTCCTATCCTGCACACTGGAAGTGCAGAGAGTGAAAACAAACTTGAGTAATTGTAAGATATGAGCAGTACTGTGAATCTCCCAGGCCAAGAATAATGCAGATATTAATGTAATACTGCAGATACCATGAGTTTGAGGAAGAAGAGAGAAGTTCACCAAGAATTACTGAGGAGCCAAAAAACCACTACAAATATGTCTAAAGCAGATGTGAAAAACTCAAAGTAGGGTCCTCTGCTCATTCTCAGTGGTCCAAACCATGGATTACTAACTCCTGAACCCACCAGTTCCAATGGCCAATTTTTACCTGTGACTTTTAGCCTCTAAATGAGACTGCCCTGGGGAAATAGACCTCCATCCTGTCCCACCCCAGCACTGTTAGGTATCTGCATTAAAGGTAGAACAAAAGCACTGACCTTTTGGCAATGGTAGAGTGGAACTGGACGGCCCATTTCCTCCTTCTGTAAGAAAACAAATGATGGTACAAAACAGAGTTTGGATTCTGCATGACGGGAGAAAAGACTATTCACATCCTCACCACGTGCAGTGGTGGTGAGAAGAGCCCTGGGCATGAATATTATAATATTATACCTTAATTCTCTTTGGGCGCTGAGGTCCTGGATATGTCTTGAAAAGAAAAGAAGAAAGCATGAGAGCAGATGGGGAAATGTTTCCCCTCTTGAGCTGTGGAAAGGCTATCTTTAAGCAGTGAGATGTTACACAGCAAATCACTGCATTGTAGCAGGGGTAAAGGTGTCTTGCAGGGCCTCCATGTGTGGTCAAGAATTGTGAGATCCTCATTGAAACACTCCTGATTGGATATGAGGTGGTCTCCAGGCTCACTCTGAGCCACTCCAGCCTGGATAGGATACCTGAGATCTGATTGTACCCATTGGAAATGGGCTGTAGGGTCCACAAACCATGAAATGCCTTGGCACAGACGTCCCACCATAACTCTGACTGTCTACAGACATCTATGGAATCATAGAATCATTTGAGTTGGAAGGGACATTTAAAGCTCATCTAGTCCTCTGCAGTCAACAGGGACACCTACAGCTAGATCAAGAGCAACATGTCACCTCATGGCACAGATAAGCTGAGCTCAGTGCTACCATAGCCCACTGCTAGGACAGGGCAACGGTCAATTACTGCTTTCAAGTAAGTTAAATTAATTCAAACTCAGAGATCTAGATCTATGTGTTTATAAACACACATTTACATGTTTATATATTCCCACAAATATCTTCTATACTCTCAGGACGAAAAAAAACCAAATCAGGTTATCATGTTCCATCATTGATTAAGTTTGATTTTCTTCACTTCTGCTTTGTGAGCATCACGTTTCCCTTGCCAAACACAGTGAGAACACTCTGCTCTGCCAAGAAATTCAGCTTCATCAGCAGATGTTCCTTGCTTTATTTATTAATATTTATCACTAACCTTTCACATACACCCTCTACATTCGCCACTGAGAAGAAGCAAATTGGGCTTCTTTTGCATCCATGTGTTTGAAGACAACCTTGTATCAGGTATTCACTCACCACGGATCCAGATGGGGATTTTGGAGCTCCTGGGGCACCGGGAGGGTGAACCTATGATAGAGCCAACAAGAAATGGTCCCCATTCCCTTATGGCTCTGCTCTTAGACACTGCTAGCCCAAAGCCATTGGGGTGTAATGAGGCCTTACCATGTGTCTGTCATGCTGGGTTGATCTCCTGGCTCTAGGATGCCTTGGGAGTGCAGAGCCATCTTCTGAATTCATGTTTTCCTACAGGAAAGAAAGCAGCATCATAGAATCACAGAATCATTAAGGTTGGAAAAGACCTCTAGTCAACTCTCTGCCTACCACCAACTACATCTTACAACCAATCATCCCACTGAGCATCTCTTGTGCAATTAACTTATGGCTATTTCAGAGGAATAATACCTAAAATCTTGCAACTTTGAACTCTACTTTCCTCCCTGCAGCATCCATGTCTGGGTAACACAGATATGCATTTACTGCACCCAATATATCTGACTGCAGTAATACAACTGCTGATGTTTGATCACTCTACTCAGTAATCTTGCTGACATTTGCAATGCTCATAGTTTTTGTTGATACATATTTAAGACACACATTGTAAAGCTTGTACAAATAGTTACTGGCTTGTATCATGAATTGGTCATAATACTAGCAACAGTCATTTATCTGCTTGCTGTTTTAAAACCAATCATACTCCTAGCTCAGTGTACAGCAATTATTCCCTGACCCACATGGTGGTGAACTGCAGAGCAGCTTTGGCAAATATTCTGATATGAAAGCAAAAAAGCAATAGACTGATTCACAACAACAGAAGGCAGGAAACCTCCGTGCACTAAAACCTCAGCCCTGAGCATTGCCAGGAGCATAGGTAAAAGAGAAACGTTTTGGGATGGGATGCAGTTATTTGGCACTATTTCCACATTCATATTATTATTATTTTCAGAATCAAAGACCTGGATTGACCTCAAAATTTAATCTAGAATCATGTGTTGAGTTCTGTTTTGATGGATTTAACTAACTGGATGATAGTTTCATTTACTGGCTAATAAACACAGGAAGTTTCTGACTCACTAAAATACATAATGAAAAAAGATATTTTTGCCCAAAGAAAACTGAAATTCTTTACTGAATCATGGTGAGGAGCAAGAAAGAGGAAGAAAAGATTCACCAGTGATGTGCTGGCACACATTGCTCAGGAGTGCTCGTTTGGGATGGGTTTTGGCCATCCTGCACTGGGTTGCAGCTGATCTGCATGCAGAGCAGATACAAAATGCTGCTGCTGTTTTGCTGTGGGTCCGTATTTACCCTGAAGAGCATCGTAAGGAAAAGGCAAGGCAAGCCCATGGGTTGCCAGGACCTTGCAGAGATTTTATGGCAACCCATATGCATGGGATCTGATAATGCTGCCATTTACAAGGATGGTGGGAAATTGCAGGAGGTAATAACTTTTCTCCATTCTGCAATTCCTCCGCAATTTTAGCAGTTTCCAGCTTTCCAAATCTGAGATGCCAGCAATAAGGTACCTCAAGGGAAAGGAGAGAAGCTGCTGCTTTCTGAAGCAGTGATTTGCTGATAGTGAGTGGCACTGTCAGGAAAAAGGAAAAAGGAGAAAGGAAAAGGGAAAGGAAAAATAGGGAAAGGATACAGAGGAGAGGAGAGGAGAGGAGAGGAGAGGAGAGGAGAGGAGAGGAG